ACGGGCACTGTCGGAGGGTCAGTGCTGAGGGAGCGGGCACTGTCGGAGGGTCAGTGCTGAGGGAGCGCTGCACTGTCGGAGGGTCAGTGCTGAGGGAGCGCCGCACTGTCGGAGGGTCAGTGCTGAGGGAGCGCCGCACTGTCGGAGGGTCAATGCTGGGTTAATGGTTCGCACGCACACTGTGATCCCCTGTTTAATGGACTCCTTTCTCTCCCCTATAGGTTATGTGGGCTGTGCAACAGTGGGTGCTGCTGCCTGGTGGTTTTTGTACGCAGATGATGGGCCAAAGGTGACGTACTACCAACTGGTGAGTCCCTCATTTTCCCCTCCTGCCTCCCCAGCCCGCGACCTCACTTCCAGCCATTCCCGATCCCACCGCCTTTGTCATGCATTGGAGCCGCACTCTCTCTCCACCCTGCCTGCTGAGTCTAAACAGTTCCCAGTCAACACCTCTACCCTGGTAAATCTCTATGTCAACAATTTCCGTCACGCTGCACTTCAGACCACAAGCCACCGGTGGCACCATTTTCAGCGGAATCTGTGGGAGCATCTCAAGGGCATCAGGCCCCTCGAGATGCTTACACCATCAGATTTAATTTCCAAATAAAGTCAGATGGCGTTGGTCACGTTTGTGAGGAGGTCAGAAATTCCTTCTGGAACAGTATCCAAACCCAGTCTTTCAGAAACCTCCCCCGAGAGTCAGTGGGATGATGCTTACAACAGCTCGGGTAAACGCATAAAGTCAGTGATATTGTCCCTACCTCTGGGCCAGGTGACCCGGGTTCAAGCCCCACCCCAGTCCAGAGACATCTCCAAACAGGTTGGTGAGAAATTGTCGTGGGTTCAGATCAGCACTGAGTTTCAACGTTTGTGCCATCCCCGCATCCCCCCCAGGGTCATTGGGTGAACAAGTCTGCTCAGGGTAAGGGTTGAGCTGGTGAACCTTCCGAACCAGGGGGGTTAGCTTCACAAGCAGCAGGTCGCAAGACTGAGAAAGTTTCAACTCTCTGAACCTGTGAGATGTTCTTGGAGGGGGCTTGTCGACTTGTCGAACAGCAGATGCTGGAGACAGAGTCGATGTAGTGTGGAGCGGAGCAGGAACACAGCAGGCCAGGCAGCATCAGAGGAGCAGGACAGTCAATGTTTCGGGTTTACACCCTTCTACACAGAGCGTGCTTCATTGCTACTCTGTGCGATAAACTTCTACTCTGTTGTTGGACAACATGTGCAGGCCATGTATGATTGTGTTTCAGTGAGTGACCACCCATTAACTAATGGGGCAAGACAAACAATACAATCTATCAGGTGGAAGTGGCTGTGGGTTTGAAAGGTGCTGCCTGAGGATCTTGGGTGAATTTCTGCAGGGCATCTTGTGGACGGTACACACTGCTGCGACTGTGCCTGATCAGTGGAGGAGGGGGATGTTTATGGATGTGGTGCCATTCAAGGCTGGTGGGGGGGCTGCTTTGTCCCTGGACGGTGTTGAGCTTCTCAAGTGTTGTCGGAGCTACCCCCCGTCCAGGGCAAGTGGGGAGTGTTCCCCCTCCCTCTCCTGCCTTGTGCCTTGTCGATGGTGGGACAGGCTTTGGGAGCGGGGAGTCAGGGAGGGGAGTTACAGGATTCCCAGCCTCTGACCTGCTCCTGTAGCCACAGGATTGATATGGGGCTGGGGTCTCGGT